CCTGTTTCCCAAGACAGTAGCTATGACATGACACCTCTAGGCGTCCGCTCACATCAGAGAGCTACAAGGCGAACCCGTCATTCTGTGTGGGACATTAGAGTCAGCTTACAAGGAGAAAGGTCATTTTGTGCTTCCTCCAAAGGTTACACAAACATGAAGTAACTTGGTACGTAAATACTTTCTTGAGCTAAAAGCCACTGAGATGTTTCAAACCTGAAAAATCCATTTCTGGAATCCAGTATCCCTGGTCAGAAGAATCAGAGTAAAGAAAGTCCAGCGGAATTCACAACAGAGTCCCCCTCACCTTCTGCTTTATTGTCTTCCTCCAAACACAGGTCCACTGCTTCCACTGCTCTGGGGCTCGTAAAGATGAGTCCCCCATAGCCTTCGGGATGACACAGCTGTGCACCAAATAGCAACAAAGACATTTTACATGATGGCCAAGTTCAGCATTTCCCAGATTTCGAAATGCTTCACAAAACTAATTCCTTCCATCCATCCATGCATCTACTTACCCATCCATCCATCCACTCTTCCACTTGACACCTACTGGGAGCTTACTATATGCCTGGAACTATTCTAGGCCTTTTAGGATACGTAGGTGAATTCACTGTTCATGGTATTCCCCTCAAGCAGCTCCCAGTCAAGGGGAGAGCCAGGAAAGAGCACTGTAGGGTAGGAGTTGTAACAGGAGCAGAGAGGGGCCATCTGACCCAGCCCGGGCGTGGGTGGGGTGCACGCAGGAGGGCAGGTTGGACCTGCATCTGTTATAGAACTGGAATCTCCAAGGGACGCCTGGGTGGTTCAGTTGGCTTCTCTTGATTTTGGCTCAGGTCATGATCCCAGGGTCCTGGGATCGAGCCTGGCGTCGGGCTCCATGCTCAGAAGGGAGTCTGCTTGCACATCCCCTCTCTCCCTCCGCCCCCTCCCTTCGAGTTCTCTCTCTCTCTCTCTGTAGGGTAAATAAATACATCTTTTAAAAAAACACTGGGATCTTCAAGGGACGATATCCACGTTGAAGCCTTGATTTTCAAAGACAGTAATAGTGATAACATCTACCGAACATTGCTGTTTTTACATATTGTGTCCCTCACTGTCTGAAAGTTCCCTGGGAGATGGGTGGGGTTCCTGTCATCTCAGAGATGAAGACTCAGGCATGGAGAGGCTGAGGGACTGGCCCACGGTGAATGGCAGGGCCAGGACTCCAGCACGTGCCTTGTGCCCCAACTCGATGCAGCATAGGGAGCTAGACAGAGTCCGGAAAAGCCCTCAGGGGGCACGCTGGCTGGCGGTGACAGGAGAGGCTCCTGTGGAAACTCTAGTCTGTGTGGCCACGAGGCCCAAGAAGTGATCTCAAGTGAGGAGATCTCTGGTGCCTTTCCAGGCTGCTTCTGGAAGGGCATGCTGGTCCGGGTCCTTACCGCGTTCCCTCAGCACACAGCCCAGTGCATAGGGGCGTAACAGATGCCAGACCAGTGTCTGTCGGGTACATTACTGAATGAACCATTCAACATTCGGCCCAAATCAACAGGAAAACACAGGCTTTCCATAAAGAGCAGGAGGGGTGAACCTGGCGCTAACAGAGGCTTGGAGCCCGGGAGCAGGGCTGGGCACCCTAGTTCATGAAACCAGCCTGGCTCTTCCCCAGTGTGTCTAGAAAGGAGCTCCAGGGGAGATGTCCTGAAGGCGCTCCCCTCCTGGGACTGGATGCACCCTGGTGAGAGCTGCCTGAGCACGGAAGCTTTGATCTGAAGCATCTGGAAGGCTTTACTGAGATTGTGTCTGGCAAGATCGATCCTCGTTACACCTGGCGGCAGACCTGACGCTGTGGGGGAGCAACCCGCTTGCTGGAGATCTCAGCTGAGCGAGTGGCCCAACCTGGGGCCCCTCTCTAAAACGGCAAAGTAACACCCGTGCAGTGCGTGGTCAGGGCAGGTGGGTAGACGGGAGGACGAACTGGAAGGGCCTGCATGGCTGAGAGCCCTCCCTGCAACCCGCTCTCCCGACAGCCCCTCCCCGCCCCCGCCTTCAGGTCAGGGCGGCTTTCTGGAGGACCTGCTGGAGGCTCAGGGACAGTCTAATAGCCGCACCCACTGGAGCAGGGTGAGGCAGCGCTGCCCTTGTCTTCAAGATTGGTAGTAAAATGAGGGAGCAGCGAAGAAATCCTTCCGGCTTGGGTTGGCAAGGATTCTACAGAGACTCAGAAATTACGGTACTCAGACACTGACAGACCTTACCTTCTCAGAAAAACTGGGAAGAGACAAAAACTCAAATGATAAAACAGGGATCAGAGTGGCTTCAAGTCCATACAATCCTAATTCCTGCAAATACAAGAATATAGTTCTGGATTGGCCAGGGTTGTTTGGAAAATAAGGAAAGCGTCACAGTACCAACTTACTCTGTCCGTGGTTTGGAGGGTTCGCAGACCGCCCCCCTCACCCCCTTAACTTCCCTAGTAAGACAGTGTCATGCTGTGCGGGACCCGGAGCCTCGGGCACTTACCCTGATGTATGGGTCTTGGCCATAGTCGTCCTCCTTAGCGTCTTTCAGTAAGAGAACCTTCATTATCACCTGGCAGTCCTTACAGGGTGCTGGGACAGAGCAGGGAGACGGATGGATCTTAATTAGATCTCAAGTACTCTTCCTAAGCAATGTCAGATGGGACGGAAGCACGGGAACAAGGTCATCAACTGATCGCTGAGGTGACCGGCTTATCCCTCGCCCACAATGACTTAGCGTTAATGGGCTTGTTCCTTCTGAAGCCCCTGCCACTGATAAGGCCAAGTGACAGCATGTGGGCGCTTGATACCACTTGGAAAGGCCGATGAAAGCCATTAGGGAAAGCCCGAGTCCTGGGCACACATTTAAGGCTCCTAAAGAGGAGTGATACAAATTTGGGGTTGTATCATTAACAAACAGACAAATTATTTTAAGGAAATAAAGAATTACTTCCATCTCAAGATAAATGTACTAAGTAGTTCATAAGCTCTTTAGGAAATAATCATATTGACCCTTCTACCTCTCAAATGATGTTTTATAAATGGTGTCAAATATGAGATCTCTTTCAAAACTTAGTCTAACAACCTGGAAAAGAATTTGTTGATGTTTCAAAAGCCTTGCATACTTCATACTCTTTCATCCTATAATCTCACTTCTAAGAATAAATACTAAGGCAATACTCATAAAAGTGTGCAAAGACTGACATAAAGATGTTCATCCTGGATCCTGGTATTCTTTTTTTTTCCTTAACCAGGGTATATTTGACATACAGCACTGTGTCGGTTTCAGCTATTAAGCTGTTCATCTCATACATTTATATACTGCAGTATGATTACTACAGTAGTAGCTCAGTTAACACCTCTACCACGCCGCTTCATAATTATTTCTTTTTTGCGGTAAGAACAATTAAGATCAACTTTCCTAGGAACTTGGAAGTTTGTAAAAGAGTATTGTTGACTATAATCACTATGTTTTGTATTAGATTTCCAGGACTTACTCCTCTTCTAGTTGTAAGAGGGTATCCTGGTATTGATAGTGGGAAACAAAGTAAATGTCCAACAGTGAGAGAATGGTACAGTTATATGAAATCATTAAAATATTCATTAATAACTTAATTACACGGATTATTTAATCACAAAATGTTAAAAAAGTAGGATGCATGCATAGTATGGTTTTATAAATTTTATATATGCATATGTATGAAAGAATATGCACCAGAATACTACTAATAATTATTTCTGGGGGGCAGGTTAGGGTGATTATTTTCTTGTTTATCTCTTTGTGTATTATCCACATTTTTTTTTTACAATAAACATTAAATTATTTTGTATCGGGGGGAAGAATTTAATATGACCACCCCAAAGGCCTCAAAATAAATGTTGCTAGAGACCTGCAGAATAAACTCTGCCTGAAATGTGTATTATTATCCTGTAAGTAGTATTAGGCCCACCAGCTAGTCACGTACTAAATATTATACAGTGGTTAATAGTCAAAACGCGTGTATTGTTTGGAGCAGAAATGTGTTAACTCTGGGAGCCATTACCTGTGAGTTATTACTGAATAGGTTTCTGGAACATTATAATATCTACGGGACGTCTTAGGAAAATTTGGCTCAAAATGAATTGCTTTGTATCTAAGCAACCAACCCTGGGTGAACAAATAATAATCATGAAATCAAGTTCTAATTACTGCTGCTGTCGAGCTGTGAGCCAGAGAGACTGGGGCTCTGGGGAAATGGGCAGTATTGTTCCTATCATTTCCTGAAATTACTTGGAATGTGTCTCACACAGAAATTAGGAACTGGCCTTTCTGAGATGGGCATGCACAAGTTTGTCAGTCAACCCCACGAGGCTCCAGTCCCCATTTCTTCACAAATGGTGCTGTGAAGGTATTTTGGAGAGAGGATAAAGCCTATCATCGGGTGGCTTTTGGCCAGGGAGATTATCCTAGATAATCTGGGGGGGCCTCCTCCAGACAGTGCCTTTAAGAGCGGGACCGAGTCTTCCCCGAGGAAGAAGTTCCAGCTGTGGCCACAGCCTCCTCCGCTGCCGGGCCGCCCTGCCTTCTCAGCGGCTTGCGCTCGGCTTGCGCTCGGGGTCTCAGACTTGCCCAGCAGCCCCACAGGTGCACCAGGAGGTGCCTTACAGCAGGTCCTAATCCATATCCCCCACCAGCTCTTTCTTTGGTTGAACCCTGACTGATCCCGAGAGCCCCAGAAGGGGCTGAGATGAGTGGCAGGTAAAACAGCATTTTCTGTTAACACACAAATGTTTCCAGGCCCACAAAACAAGCCAGGATTGTGGGGATTAAAAGGTGGGAGCATGTTGGAAGCAGTCGGTCCCGGGCCTCAGACCTCAGCCCCACCTTGGCCCAGCCATGGTTCGAGGCTCTGGGGTGCGTATCCCCAAGATTTCAAAGGATAGGTTAGTATTGCTTTCAAATCCCAGAAGCCAATGTCTCCCAAGTGTTTCTATGCTGTTCTCAGGCAGTGGCACCTGGAATCTGCCTCAGAGAGTTTAGGGCTGCATTATGTACTGGGGGCAGGGCACAAGTTCAAGTCCTACCAAGTGCTAGGAGGGATAACTGGGTGCTGATGGCTGGTTGCCAGTCCAGGGCCACCTCTCGGAGAAGGTGGCATCTTAGTTGAGATCTGAATGACAACAGCAGCGAAGAGAAATGTTCAGATGTCAAGAAAGGGCTGAGCACGTTCCCAGGAGAGAAGGGTACGCATGGCTCCGGTGGGAAGGACAGGTGGACCTGGACACCATGAGAAATGGAAGTCCACGGACAAGTGTAAGCAGGCCTGGCAGCGAAGGTGTACATGCCTGAGAACGGTCTCCGGCTGCTGAGGTAGGATGAACAGGCAGGGGCGCCGTTACGAAGGGGCTGGATCAGGGATTCATACCGACAAGGTTAACAGGACACGGTGTAATTCAAGGTGAAACCGTCTGTGTCCATGGCCTGACAGTTGGGACTAGGTGAAAGTCTTTCTTCTTCGAATCCCACCTAAACTTGGGGTTTGTAGGGTGTAATCCTATCAGTGAGTTAACAAGTATTTCTAGACCGTTACTGAGTCCTAGGCAGTGGGGATACAATAGGATTCCTGCCTCATATTTACGGGAGGGTAACATAGACACTTTACAAATAAGTAAAAACGACGACAGTCAGTGTGATAAGTGCTATGAAAACAAGTCAAGATGCTCTGGGAGCATAACTGGAAGTCTTACCTGGACGGTGGGGGGGGGGGCAGAGGTTGCCAGCTGCCCCCAAATACCCACCCTTCCTTTCTCACTCATAGCAATGGAATCCCCCGTTGGTAACAAGGCACACATTTGCCCAAAATAAAAACATATGCCGCATGTGGCCAGGGGACTAGCTTCTGGCCCACAGGATGTTAGTGGGAGTGATGTGCACTTTGCGGGGCCTGCCCTGACAGGGAAGTGCCATGCGCCTACTCTTCCCTCCTGCCTCCCCACTGGCTGGGGTGTGGATGTGAACGTTCTGGACCTTTCCTTGGTCTGTGAGAAGCTGCAGTAATGCCACTGTCTAAACTCCTGTGACTGGAAAAAGCCATTGGGAAGAAGTCATTCCTCACTCGCAAGGCGGCTGGCTGATGTCATCCATATATGCCTTTAGAAACACATGTACCTTGGCTGTCCCATGAGCCAGTCCTCCCCTGGTGAGTATTTCCTCTGCTAAGGGCAGGGTCCGTCGCCTAGTCCCCAGGCCTTTGCTGCAGACCCTTTGGCTCTGCAGAACCTTTTGGGACTCCCCAAACCAAACCCCACACCCCCCATCACCCGTAGACCTTTCTCTGAGCCCTTGGATTCTGCCCTGGGCTGAATGTGCTAATAGTACGGTGAACAGTACCTGTCAATTAGGGGGAATCAATTCTAAAAACATTATTAACTTTAAATCTTCAATTACTAAGAAAATTAGTAATGTGTGAGCATGACTATCTTTGTACACTTGTCAAGTGATTTCTTTCTCACTGAACTTGATGACATGGGGCTCTAGCAGGGAAAAGAATCACCAGCAATGGTTCCTCTTAATTTTGCATTAGAGGTGCTTTGAGCCATGGCCGAGAAGGAATAAGGGTGGTAGTCTAATTTTTATTTGTCAAGTCCAGCAGCACATCTCATGGAATCTCTTAACAGTCATTATCCGGAAGCCATCAATTTTATTATCTAAGACAACCACAGAGTAGAACCGAGAAGAAACATTTTCTCTATTTGCAGTGGGTAGACTGGTTTTGCTTTCAAGTGTTTGCATTATTAAACTAAGTCTTTTGTACCAGAATGATACTTTTTATCTTAGTCATGCCATAACAGAATTCCACAGAATGGGGGCTTCCACAGTAGACATTCATTTCCAACAGTTCTGGGAGCTGGAAGTCCAAGGTCAAGGTGCCACCATGTTTGGTTCCTGGTGAGAGCTCTCTTCCTGGCTTCCAGACTACTGTCTTCTTGCTGTGTGCTCCCATGGCCTCTCCTCTGTGTTTGTGCAGAGAGAAACCTCTGGTGTCTTCCTCTTCTTCTAAGGACACCAGACCTAGAGGATTAGGGCTCCACCTAACGGGTATAGTGATAGGGCTTGACCTTGCAATGACCTCATTTAATCTTCATGACCTCTTTTTTTTTTTTTTTTAGAGTAGGTGCCACGCCCAACATGAGGCTTGAACTCAGGACCCTGAGATCAAGAGTCACATGCTCTACCAACTGAGCCAGCCAGGCACCACTCTTCATTACCTCTTCAAAGGCTCTATATCCAAATAAAGTTCACACTGGGGATTAGGGCTTTAGCATATGAATTTGGAGGGACACAATTCAGTCCATAACAGAGTAAGTTACAGAATAAAGCGGGGGTAAAGATGTAGGTAACAAGAGGTGGAGAATCTCAGTTTCGCTCTGAAGACGAGAAACGAGGCCATGACTGGCGAGGGAGGCAGTGGGGTCGAGAGAGGTTCCAGAGGCACCTCCCCACTCCCCAGTACACACATATGGGAGATATCAGAACCAAGGCAGGCACCGAGAGGTGAGTTCCAGATGAACAGCAAGTCAAAGAATGCCATGCAATGCACTTACGGAGCAACCGAGCAAGGTTCTTTGGCATGACTTACTCCTTGAAGCTCCTGGTGTACCTTGTTCTGCCTTGCCCACCTTGCAGAAGCTCCTGAATTTTGGCAACGAGGAGAACTAAGCACCAGCCGGCCTTTTTTAGTGAGCGCTTACTTACTCTGTTACTTACGGGGCTAAGCATTTTACGTTGCAGGATCTCAATCCTCATTTAAACCAGCAAGGGTAGGTATTGGTATCCTTACTTCACAGAAGTGGAAACCAAAACTCTGAAGGGTTGAGCAAGGTGCCCAAGGTCACACAGCAGCACAGTGAGTGGAGGGGTAGGATTCAATCCCCGTCTGAAGCCCACGCCCATTCCTTAAGCACTCCCATCACTTCTCAGCTCCTATCAGATACTCCATGCTACTTCCCACTCTGACCATTCGCTCAACGCTGGGAGCTAGTCTGAGGACACAAAGTAAGGCTTTTCCTCGATCTCCTATCAAAGCAATACAAGCTCCCTGGAAAATTTGCAAACTACAAAAAAGTACAGTTCTTCAAAAAGCAAACTACAAAAAAGTATAGTACTTCAAAAAAACAGCACACACAGAATGAATTACCATATGATCCAACGGTTCCACTTCTGGGTATACACACCCAAAAATTTAAAAGCACACACTTAAACAGGTATTTGTGCATCCAAGTTCACAGCAGTGTTATTCATAATAGTGAAAAGGTAGAGGCAACCCAAGTGTCCACCAACGGACGAATGGATAGACAAAATGTGATATATACATACAACGGAATATCATTCAGCCTTAAAAAGAAAATTCTGACACATGCTACAACATGGATGAACCTTGAGGACTTTATGCTAAGTGAAATAAGCAATCGCAGGACAAAAATTATAGGATTCCCCTAGAGTAGTCAAATTCATAGAGACGGAGAACAGAATCATGGTTTCCAGGGCCTGGGCAAGGGGGAAATGGGGAGTTACTGTTTAACTGGTAGAGTTTTAGTGTTGCAAGACGAGGGTCTGGGGATGGATGGTGGTGGCTGTTGCACAACAAATGATGCACAACAAAGGAATTTACTTATGCCACTAAACTTAATACTTAGAAATGATTAAAATGGTAAATTGTGTTGTGTATGTTTTACTACAAGAAAGTATAAAGAAACAGAAAAAATTATCCAAGATGTCTGAGTGCAACTCCGTTGACAGGTTGGGACCACTTTGAAAGCTCCCTGCTTGGAGAAAACTCCTGTTACCTGCCTTGCAGCAAGAATGGGAGGAAGCCAGGAACAGGAGACAGGCAGGGGTATGAGCAGAACTACCCCAACAGAGGTGAATCCCTGATATGCATGTCTATCAATACCCAGGCTGTGGCCTGCTAGCGGAGATTCTCAGGAAGGACGGAACCCACAGAACACAATCATGGCGCCTCGGGGGACCCTTACCTTACCCTGACCCCATTTCCTGCTGCTGAAGGGTCACTGAGAAGAGGTTATCAGGTTTCTGCGTAAACCTCTGGGCTGCAGCCACCTCACTACACAGGGCAGCTCCTTCCATTTTTAGAATCAGAGGTATACAACCCACTTTTCTCATTTTACAGAGGGGAAAAAAAAAAGTTAAACCACAGACCTCCTTCTCAGATAGCTGATGTCTTCTTCAATTAAGGACTTTCTTTCCAAATAGTCTTTACAATGAACGGCTGCATACTGGCTGCCCGTGGGATACAGCTGACTGGGGACTGAATTTTATTTGGCACAGATGTTAAAAATCAGGATCGATCTTGTGGAACTCCAGGTTCTCTTGAATGTAAAGATCTGAGGGCACTAGGCCAGCATGTCCCCTCAGCCACACTGGCTGCACTCTCTAGCTGACCACAGCCCCCTCCACTCTCTTCTCTCCAAGGAGGGGCTCTGCTCTGTAGTTCAGATTTCCCCACTGGATTTGAAGCATTTAAGGTTAACCCCTATCTTAAAGAAACTTTCAGGTCAAGAAATGCGCTTAAAGAGCGTCGGCTGGGGCAGGGCTTCGGAGGAGATTCATTCCACCGCGGACCAGGCCGTGCCACCGACGGTGCAGGGGGCCCTGAGCCCGGCGACCTTCCATTCGGGGCCGATCGCTGCCCCCGGGCCAGAGCCCCCGCCCAGACCCAGCAGCGACCTCGGGGTTCGGCTCCCCACTCGTCACGCTCTAGCTAGCGCCGCAGGCTGGCCTTGCGCGTCCGCGGGCCTCGGTGTCATCGTCGGCACCGTGGGCGGCGACACCTACCTCGCTGGGCTGCGCAGGCCCGAAAGGCTAGGCGCTGGGCCACTGCCCAGCACTTGGAGGGCGCCCTGGCGGGGGCGGTATCTCGCAGTGCCAACGAGCCTGCGGTGCAGCCACCGGAGAGCGGAGCCGGGTGGGCGGCCCCCTCACTACGTGGCCTCTGCTGCCATGGAAACAGCTCGTGAGCGGCCGCGCGGCAGCGGCACGGAGGCCCGGGATCCCGGAGCCGGAGCCCCTCGCAGCTGGAGCGCGCGCATGCGCACAGACACCCAGGTCCGGGGAGGGTGGGCCGAGGTGGGTCGAACCACTGAGCGAAGGGGAGGAGGAGCGTCGGAAAGCTTGAAGGAGGATGGAAAGGGGGAAGAAAATGCCAAAATAGGACCTCGAACTTGACTTGGCCCCTAGAGAGCATGGCCGTGGAATCCATCGGGGGCCCTGGGGTTGACCCCGACTCAGCGCCGAGGACGTCCGTCCTCTCTCACCCCCCCCCGGCTTGTGTGGGTGGGTCCGGAAGGGAGGGCTGGTGGGAGTTGCGCAGGCGCAAGGAGGCCGGCAACATGGCGTCCAGGCCCAAGCGGCGTGCCGTGGGTAGTGGGGCTCCGCAGCCTTCAGGCGTCCCGGACCAGCGCGACGAGGAAGAAGAAGAAGATGAAATGGAGGATGAGGACGAGGACGATGGAGACAGTGACGAAGAAGAGGATGAAGACGACGAGAGCGTCTACGAGGTGAGAAGCACACGCGGCGCCTGGGAAAAAACTTTCTGGCCGCCAAAACCGTGTGACTGAGCTGCTCGGAGCAGCGACCGCCAGTACCTGAGGGTCTGTGAGCAGAAACTGCAGATGATAAAAGTGCCTACCTCGGGTTCCACTGGAGTCTTTTACACGTTGCAGCCACAAAGTATTTTCAGAAGTCTGTTCCGCCGGTTCGGCCCCCTCCCACCTCTCCAGGAAAACCCACCGCAACACTCTCCTCTGTGGCTTTCCGTAGTTCTTCGGCTAAAGCCCCGAACCCATACAACGGGGGCCTGCAGTTTATTCTCTGCCCAGTCTGCGGCCAGGTTCTTGTTGCCTGCCTCGCTCGTAGCGGCCCGCTTTCCGTTTCTCGAAGGCCTTCTGTCCGTCGTATGTGGAACCCGATGCTGTTCTTCATCCTGCAGCGCTTTCCCGTCCTTGTTTAGATCTCAGCTGAGCTCTGCCTTCTGCCTCCGGGCACCTGACCCTGCCCCACTCCCCGAGTCCTGGTGGTGGGTTCTCATCGAACAGGGCTCCTATTTTTTCCAGAATATCTCCTACCATACTGCTTGGCGTTCTCGATACTTAATATTTGTTGAGTGGATAATTAGGACTGAATGATCCTGAAGAGCACTAAATGCCCAGTAGGTACCCAAAATTTAATGGGTCCAAAGCAGAATTTGTAATTCGTGCTCCAGCTCCTGATCTTTGCCATTTCTGTAAATGGTTCTCCTATTGGTCAAGTTGCTCAAACCCCAAACCCGGTAATTAACTTTAATTCCTCCCTTTTTGCGTCCCACATCCAGTCTATCAGTAAATCCTGTTAGCTCTGCCTTGGCACCTAGACGCTTTCCATCACGGATTCTCCAACACTCTTCGTCCACGCTTCCATCATCGCTTGACTGGACTCCTGTAGTAACTGCAGTGGCTTGTTTTCTTCCATTCTTGTTCCTGTACCATCTCTACACCCGCAGCCAGGGAGATCTTTTTATTTTTTATATGATAGTAGGAATGCTAAATGCCATTCTTTGAAGTTTATGTATTTATTTTTTAGTAATCTCTAAGGCCAACGTGGGGGCTCAAACTCACAATCAAGAGTCACATGCTCTTCTTACTGAACCAGCCAGGAACCCCCAGAAGAGATCTTTTTAAAATGTAGGTCTGTTCTTTTTTCCCTGTTCAGAACATTCCACTGACTTTCCATTTCATTTATAAGAAAATCCGAAGACCTCCTGGTTGATGGACAGAAACCAGGTAGCTAGTGTGGCCACACGGGGTAAGCAAGAAAGGCTGATGGGAAATCAAGTCAGAGATAAAGACGAGTCAGAAGCGTGGAGTCAGGATTAGGGCTGAGACTGGCGTGGGTATATGATAAATCTTCTAGTGAACAGAGCTTTTCCTTAGAAATCAGCTCTTTGACCCCTTGCCTTGAATGTGGTCTCAACCTTTTTCCACTTAGAACTTTAATTGACTGTTTTGTTAACTTTGGGCTATAGAGGTCAGTGCTTCTTGCATTGACATGGATAGTCTCACACTCTGCTCCAGTGATTAAAAATTAGTGTGAGAATGGTCACTGACTGTAGTGTAAGAAAGCAGGCACTTGCATGTACTGTTGGTGGGAGTATAATTTGTTGCAGTGTCTTTGGAGGGCAGTTTGACAATATCAAAATTTAAAAATGTATACATCCCGATACAGTAATTGGACTGGAAAGAATTCTCCAGTCATCATAAAAATCATGATAACATCTTAAAAGTTACCACCATTTAAGACAGAGGATATACAGCAAGTTAAGTGAAGACAGCCTGTGTAGTGCAGTCTATGTAG